AGATTGTGCACCCTATGTCACGGCGAAGTCTTTAAACTGCCAACACTGACAGACATGGCATGGGTGTGTAGGGTCGTGAACCGAATAATCAAGTGGTTTATGGATCCTGGCATCTTAGCGCGAGATCGCTCAAGCGTGCGTCCGCAGAGAGCGGGTTGCGCATGAAGCATCATGAAGCCACACCACGTACTGCTGCACCATACTTGCGCAAAGTTCAATAGTGTGAGCATATGTCCTGATCTTTGCCTCCACGTGGTTCAGTTCATCCCTGTTTCACGTTCTCTTGTGGCCTCGTCTCTCCGCACGCCCTCTACATCTAAAACCCTAAGCCAGGAGTCCTAAGGCCACGACGACGACCACTACCACCCCCACGGCATGCAAACTATTGGTCCTTCGCTCCTACCACCGATGCTGTTGCAGTATGTTGCAGTCACTTGCTCGTGCAAACCAGAATCCTGCGAAGATGAGCAACATGACGAGCTTTCGTCGCATCCGGACTCTATCTCCTCGCATGACACCGTAAAGGATGAGGTTGAAAAGGCATTTCTGTTGAGGGTCCGGGTTTATGCTGAACGCCTCCCGTCCTCGCTCTCCTGCTGACGGATGAGCTGTCCCGTGAGGAGGTCGCCCTGGAACCGTTCGCCGGTCAAGGCTGCACACGTAGCGTAGCATGCGTAGTGAGATAAAATTGGAAGTAGCGCTGCGCGATGCCCCTGCTGAAACACCTCCGCACACTCGCTTACAAGCATGCATTTTCAATGATAACACAGAGGCTGCATGACCTGCCCATTGTCACCGAAAAGGACAAAGTCGTACTCCTCGTAAAGTGCCTCGAAGGGCAACTTGGGTCGACTGGCGCCTATAGCTAGAAGCAGTTCGAATCTGTAGACAGCCTCCGAGCAACTTGCGGCAAGTTCGCGAACATGTTTGCTCTGCGTCTGTCTCACCTAAACCCAGCGACTTCTCTGAGGGCACAACCTTGAACTTCCAGTAGCACTCGGCCTTCCTTTCTCCAACATCCCGCCAGCCATGAGCTGAAATGAAAAAAGCCTCCAATCTGGTTTTGGTTGGGTTTTCAGGTGTTGATGGGACTTGTTCTTGCAGCCTGGCGTGCTGCTTCGGGACGGGGCGATCGGGATTTTAAAAGCTCTCCGAGTTTAGAAAAAAGGGTGAGAGTGGAATACACACTGCAAACCATGGATTTCCATCCGTGGGTGGCTCTTGCATCCGGCGGTAGTATATTGGATTGTAGCTTCCGCGATCGGGTCCGAGTGTAATGGGGGTCTTCCAAAACTAACGGAGATGTCCTATCAAGAACTATCACAGAGCCTGGGGCACATACAGCACTGTCCATGCTATTTGGGCAGTGTCCTGGTCGGGGCATGCCAGGTTCTGAATCAACGAGACAGTGCTGTCGGGACGGTTCAATCGAGCGTAGGTTAGAGACTACTCCCGGCAATCGACTAAGGGCGCAGCACTGGTCAGCGGATGCAAACAGACAGAGTGACCAAGACATCTTCTTTCGTGCTCCACCGTGAGCTACCACGCACAACCCGCCGGGCACACCGCCCGAAACCCGGTGCCGGTGCCAAGGTGCGCACTGCTCAGGCGCCCCATGGGAAGTCGACGTCCCGCCTCACCCAGGACCTGCATGACCTCTCGTCGACGAGTGCTCCCACCCGTGTCCAGCCCTCTGCCCGCGACCCCTTCACAGGCTCCATGCAAGGAGAGGTCGACGCCTTGGACCACATGTTATTGGCGGGCGCCTGTGCCTTGGACGGCCTGGTCTGGAGGCCGCAGGGCGAAGCAAAGGCGCGGTGGGCCGCATCGGCGACCCGACCTTTCTAAGTGCCGTTGAAAACGTCGACGATTAAGTGACTGCACCGGGTCGGCCGCCCGGTTGAAGTTCCAGACGCTGGCCGCCGCCCCGAAGCACATGGCGAAGTGGAACGACAGTGAGTGGGACACCGGTTGCGGACAGGAGGAAGGTTCCAGTGGCCTGGCACGGTGCTAGGACAACGATGTCGCCAAGAAAGTGGTTGTTGGTAGGCACACTGCAAAACCCCCATCATCGTGGCGTTGTGGCCCGAGCACACCAATCCTCGCCCCGACGAAGCTTCAGGTGGGCGGCAAAACAATCGCCCAACCCGGGGATCGCCGACGTCTTCACACCAGCCCGACGACCCTGCCTAGAGGCGAGACGCCTATCGAGGTCTTGGCAGCCACCTAGGCGGAGTTCTCCTTGAGCGCAAGCGCTCGATGCCCACCGGTCGGGCATAGAGCCCGTGGTCCGGGCTTTCCAGCCCGGGGCGGCCCGAACCCAGCACATCTGAAACCTCCGTGAGGTCTTTGGCAGCGGAGTAGGCGAGCATCACCACCATGGGCGAAGATCTTGTATCGTGCCACGCAGTCCTCGACCAGTGCCCGAACCTCCGAGAAAGCGTTTGGGCCGTGGCGCCATGCATGCCGGAAAGACGCGGCCGAGGATGCCGTAGAAGCCGCTGCCCGGCACTCTGCGTCCTCCGCCGACGCCGCGGCGATGAAGGTGTGAATAAAGTCTAGCCGTCGGTCTGGGTGCGAGGAAGTAGTAGAAGGCGGAGACGGCGATGTAGTGCCGCCCGCCACATCGAGGCCAGCCGCCTCGGCGAAGTCCGCCCAGGCGGCGTCCTGCTCGAAGGAGGCGCCGGTGAATGCCATGATCTCACGGCGAGGCGAAGGGAGATGGGGAGTCGAAGTTTGGGCGGTCGAGCCGGAGGACTGCCTCATGCGCTTGTTCCTACGTGCATGAATGCACTACGCAGCAAACCCGCAATGTATGTGCGGTCAAGTCAAAGTTAACACAGTTATCCTTAATAAACCCTGCCCTAAGAATCCCCCCTCTTTGAATCCCGAGCTTCGAGCTGAACTTCTTTTCTAAAAGCCCGTCGCGCAAATCTGGCACAAAGTCCTCAGAAGCTTGAATGCCGGCCTTGGCAACGGCGAACAGGCCTAGAGCTAACGAGCCGGGCAGCAGAGAGGGAACCTGGGCGATGAAGCTGTGGCAATTCTGGAGCCGAAGGATTACAAGCTCGTTCTAGACTCTAGACTACTCAGCTTTAGTTTAGCTGCTTTACATCGAGCGGCAAAGCAAGTGACGCGGCGTGTTGGACGAGGTTTTGTCTACACGTGGTGGCTTTCTGCTGCTTGCGAGTGACTTCACGAATCAACCTAACTAGCAGCTAGCATCAACTACCCATGCACAGACATGCCCTGTGAGCATCCCCCAACCCCCCAAAGCGAAACGAAGATGAGACGGTCATGGACAGAACCATGACAAACGCAGCCAAAATAACGAAAATAACATAAAGCCACCCAGCCACCCACCCACCCACCCACCCACCCACAAACACCCCCACACACACACACACACACACAGCTGCAATCAACTTCAAGCCTGAGTCATGTTGGTTTTTCCTGTACACACGATTACACGCATGACTTGCGGGAGGGTCTAAGCTGCGATCAGACTTTGAGCGGCTGAACGCTAGCCCATGTCGGCAAAAGCGGAGCAGGTCTTGTCGAAAGACCTTGCGCAACTCTATCGGAAGACCACACGACGTTTAGCGTCAGCCTCGGCAGTGGCATCAGGCTAGCCTGCCTGCATGCCGATGCCTAGAAACATGTGTAAGAACACCACAGCTTTTCGGCCACATAGAGGCAACGAGAAACCCGAGACTGTCGGAGGCCGTGCAGCCGTCACTGCTGGAGGTCTCTGGGAGGCAACCCAGTGGACGAAGACTACTCGGATCTGTCAACCGAGTTTCACAAGAGCTGGGCTCCTGGAAAAGTGAAGGGAAGCCCGTGCCGCAAGACTGCCCGAGTGCCGGGTCTATAGCTGAGACAAGACCTGCAATCCTTTATGTTCTAACGGTGACTTAGACGCGATATCAAGAGGAAACCGACCCCGATGCAGTATGCGTTTGCCGGCACTGCACAACTACAGTGGACCTAGCTGCACTCACACTCTTGGTTTGGTGAGTTGTCAGCTCCATCCATCCCTAACGGCTTAACGAATCCGACCTTGTTCTTCTGCTACCAAGTGCAACGAGGCTATCAGAAGAATAAGCGTTGGAGGAGCTGAGCAGTACGCACTTCAAAAAGAAAAGCACATACGCACTGCCATCCAGGAATTTAAGTATCGAAAGGTGCACCAGGCTCCCTTTATCCTATCTCGTTTTGATCAACATGCATAGTGTGCCCAAGGGGTCCCAGGAAGCCTGAAACTCTCGTGAGAGAAGTTTTGTATATAAACAAGCAGTCACCACACCGTCCATGTAGGTATGCGGTGGATGATCTGCTCCATCTGCTTCACTGCCCAGATAGTTTACCACTACTACCAAACAAGCTGAGGCACTAGAGGATTCGACAAGCATACTCGGGAATCCATTTCGTAAGTTGTAGGCTTCTGGGTCAGGGTGCAAGCGTCTCGCACTTGTCGTTAAGAGTTACGAGTAGCATCGACAACATGTCGCGATGTCTGCTCTTCGATGAGAATCACACGTACTGAAGGTGCTAATGCAGATGCGATGTAGATAGAACGGCGATTCGTTGTTCTGCGCAGACTCGCCAGTGTTCCATTCGCATTCCGTGTGATTGATCGAGAGCAATGCACTTGAATTTGTGTCAGTTCCCTGTCGCAGAGGCCGACAGCCAGGCCACGAGTCGTGACCACGAGGGATACGCGCTCGATGCTGTCATGGTGCTTTTCTTGTGGTTACGTCTTCTGTGCTGAACCTTACACTTTGTTCAAATCCTCAGGCCTTAAGTCATCCTCTCTGCTACATGACCACCATGGACAGCTTCGAATCGCAGAAAGAATCACTCGCAGGGCTCGTCCGGTATTCCCTTTTTCGAACCTGCGGTAAAGTAGCAAGAAAACTCGGAGATGCAGCATGTTTAATTATTCTAGGACCGTCCCCTCAATGTGCAGGAGATCTGCCCGATGATGTTCGTCGATTAGTCTAAGCACACCGGCAAGATGTGGCCCTCAGGTCGCGGAGGCTCATGGTGTTCCACCGTCCGGACAAAATCTCGAGCACCATGCGGTGAGAGCCAAACTGGTTCGATACATGAGCTATGTCCAATGCAGTTTGACCGGTCGAGCTCTTCTTGGACAAATCCGCCCCTTCTCGAAGAAGGGCTTGTACCATGTGAGCATCTCCCTGCTTCGCTGCAACATGGAGCGGGTACACCGATTCCGAGAGCAACCTGAAACCCGAGCGGGAGCGCGGTGCATTGACTCCAGCGAAGTGGTTCCTCGTCAAGAAGTCAACGATCACCTCACGTCGCTCTGAACGAATTCGCTCGCGGCGGGCACGGACCGCGAGCTTGCGGAACGAGCTGGTTGAATTGACCTTTCGCATCATTGGCTCCTCAGGAAGACCGGCTCCCCCGAACTCTTCCATCGACTCGTCAAACCATGGGTCGATGTTGCCTTGGCCGGCAACGGAGTCTTCCGTCATGACGGACAGATTAAAGTCCGTCTCGTCCAAGGCTGTGGAACCACCGTCCGGCATCGAACTTAGTTTTTCTGAGCCTGTCGGAAAGATCTCATCCGACTCATCCGGCACGCCTTCGTCTTTGAGGTCCAGGTCTGGGTGCGTAGGCGACTTCAGATTGGCGAGCATGCTCCAAGAAAAATCTTGTCCATCTCCAGACAGAAGGGCATCGGGTCGAGCTGGAGCGGTCAAGGCTCCAAGACTCATCTTGTCCATCTCCAGAGAGCGCGCTGGAGCGGTCAAGGAGCACACAAACATGTCGGGGAAGGACCCGCACTACACATTAGTAGTCTAGAAGTCCAATGTCGCTTCCCATCTTCAATGGATCCAGACACTACCTGGTTCACCGCTTTGTAGCCATGAGTTGTACATGTTCTGGCCACACTTCCTTAACCCAACAGTGAGCCCTTGAACCCGACAGAGTGCTCAACTCGGGCGGACGGCATCAAACGCAAAGCTCGTTCGGAAGCTGGGCTTGGTCGAGGTTTGAGGAACTCTCTCGGCCGAGGACCACTCATCCTACACCCACGACGCATTGACTGCACAAATACGACATGCCGACACTTCTCCGGAAAGTGAGGTGCATCGTTGACACCTTCCGCCTACAATGGCAAACTTAATCTGATGGTTTTCAGTCTTCAGCTGGATTCGGACTTTGGAAGTTTCTGTCGATTCTGTTGCTGATCATTGTCGGCCTGCTCGAGCTGTCGGAAATGGAAAGCAGACTGATTGCCGGGAGATTGGGAGGAACCACGGCTTACATAACGACTCGCAAGCGTAGCCATCCGATTGAGCACCCGGCGCAGTGCAGCTGCCCTGGCACTGTCGAATTTACAGAACGTCTCCGGGAGCATCATTGTGCGCGGTCATTTGCGCCCTGCCTGTCGAATAGAGCTCCTTGAACTTGTGGAAGCTCTGGCGGGTGGCATGGCACTCACAAGCAAAATGCCAAAAACTTGCCAACAAAAAACATGACAAATGCCCATGGACCCTGCATAGTACGGACAGTTCCGGAAATTCCTGATGATGATGATGATGATGAATCATCATCATGCTGTTGCGAGTTCTTATACTGTTCACTTGTCATCCACCCATCTATGTTTGCACGTACCTTTCTTGTTATGTATCTAGCAATCTCGCCGTCTAGCCAGCTGTCTCTGTATGTCTATATTCTGTATGTCCTATGTCAGCCTATGTCCTATGTCTGCTTGTCAGTCTCGAAGCTCGTTCTTCACGAAGGCCAATGCTTTCGCGCACGGGAACATGTAAGCTAGCTCATGCCTTTCGATAAAATCTGTAAATTCGGAGCATACAGGATCCGACAATCATGAACAAGGTGTTGATGGTGGACGTGATCACGAATTTCATCATGGTAGCAGCATCGATAATGTGACAACATGCCTGGTGTGGAGCGGTTCCGTCTGTTTCACATGTTGTAATGCTGTCCGGAAATGTCGATGCCCACCTTGTTCTCAGCCAGGTCCTGCAGCTCTCTATTTCGGAGTTCCCAATCCCGTGATTTGGCTTCAATGCCTCCGGTTTCGGACATTAGGGTAAACAGCAGTTAAATATTCAACGGCCAAGGGGTGCCAGGACTTTACCGTACGGATCTCAAGCAGCAGCACCAGCAACAGCAGAGGCAGCGGCAGCAGTCGCCGTCGTCGTCGTAGCATAGTCGAGTCTAGTAATTAGTAGCGTCGTTGTCGCAGTCATGGTCGTGATATTAGCAGCAGTAGCGGTGGTGGCAGCAGCAGCAGGAGTCGTAGCAGTA